GGGAGGGAGACGTTGCAGGAAGGGCCCTCTCCGCACGGGACATCCAGAAAAACAATGTGGGCGACAGAAGCAGGAAGCGGGCTAGAAGCGAGGGTCTAAACCGGGAAAACCCGGATTGGGAGGCGGAAAGCGGCGGTCGCCTCCCCCAAGCCAGGTACGAGGGTGCCTCAAATGGCACCCCCCAGTATTTTTTGCTCCCCAAGCTCAGGGATCACAGATACCGCACCCAATCCCAGTCGGGTGAGAGGCATTAGTGAGAGTCGCTCCAAGAGGCGAGGGAGGCGGCGGCAGGGAGGCTGAGGGAAGGGCTCCAGTGCTGCGGCGGGCTCCTGCCTCCTAGGCAGTCATGTCTCCGCCGGCGCACAGGCGGCTCCAGGCAGTGTCGCCTACTCCCGGCGACCGGAGGAAGGGCCGCGCGCAGGAAGAGGGAGCCGAGGCCGCGCAGTGCGGCAGGGCAGGAAGCGGGAGGCGGGCGTGAGGTGGGGTCCTGAGGCTGGAGAAAGACCGAGCCGCCCGAGCTTGGACGACCAGAGAGGGCGCCGAGAGGACGGGTTTTGGGGGCGAGGCAGTGGGAGAAACCGCGGTGGGCTGCAACATGAAGTACAGGATGTTGGCAACTTTGGGGACTAGCATGAGGTTCGGATATCAGAGTGGGAGGAGAGCCCTGGGAAACAGACTGGAGGGCTGAACGGAGAAAGAGCCCCGCAAGCCGTGAGGAACACCCATCTTTCTGGATCCTGGGCTGCCAGCCAAGGCCGGGAGACCAGGGACGAGGCCAGCGGACCGTTACGGCGAGGCCCCGAGGTGGACCCAGCCAGCCGTGTGCAAAGGGGCTGCGGAAGGACGGTGTCGCCGCGTGAGGACAGTCCTCGGCAGTGCGGGGATGGCGAAGAGAGGAGCAGTCCCTGAGAAGTATTATGGGCTGTACTGGGGGATTTGGAGGGTCGCGGGCCGCGGTTTGGGGACTACGGGTGGCGGCACCAAGAGCAGCAGCATCCGCGTCGCGTCCACCCGCCCAGTCCGGGTTTGTTCAGTCAGGGCAGCAGCCAGGCGTACGAGAATGGAAGGGGAAAGGAGCCTTTACCTGGCTCTGCCGCGACGGGTCTCAGGCCCCAGGATCCGCTTCCCACTTAGCGATCTCCTCCCCGCCACCCTCTTCTACGCAGTTCGGCCCCCCAGTTCCCTAAGGAGACTCCGCCAACTCCGCAAGACCCCGCCGGGAAGCAGAGCCCGCCCCTTGGCCAATCACCGCACGCTTCCTATCGACCGATGGGGCGTCTAGCCAGTAGAAATAACTGATCCCTGGAAGCCAGGAGTAGGGGCGGAGCTGACTAAACTTAGAGGTGTGGCAAATACTAGCTGCCCAGGCGCAGCCCCAAAGTGATCTCTTCCCGGGCCTGTGGAACCTGAAGCAGAACTGATGGGCGGGATAAAATGAAAGCGACAACCAAACACATCCCTCAAGAGAAGACGGGACCAATCCGCCCGGGAAAGGGAGGAGGGAAGTTTAGCCAATAAGCAGTAGAGACTGGCCTGGACATAACATACCTACCAATAAGAAACTGAGGTCTGTCTTCCAAGTTCGAGGGGGGGGGTCACTCAAGCAGATGCTGACCAATGATCTTAGAGGCCGAGCCAAGCTAAACCAATCAGAGGGCCGATCTGACCTCGGCACCGTTACTGGGGAGCGGCCTCTGAGCTCACGTCAGGAGAAGGCCCCTGGCCTTCCAATGTGGTACTGGGGCAAATTTTAGTCCTCCCAATCCGTGCTCGGCGCAGGCAATTCAAACTGACAGCGGGTTAGAGAAAGCGGAAGAAAGAGTGAAGCCCGGCGTGTTCGGTGACTGACTCCAGGTGCGGACTGAACCTCAGCCGCGGCCTCTCATCCAATACCACTGCCCACTCCGGAGCGACCGCTGCAGGAAAAACCTTAAGGGTCACGGGCGGCGATTGCTGAGTGAGCGAGGACGCCGAGGGCCGTGGTGCAAGGGAGGGGACGCGCGGCCTAGCTCGGAGAAGGGGGCGCGGGACAGGGCCGAAGCCGGCGTGCCCTGAGTGGCGTTGAATCCTGCGAAGAGGCCGCGTGGAGCAGAGCAGGGATCGGAGCGCTCTGCAGGCAGGGCTCGCACTGGGAGTTGTCCGAGAAGCGAAGCTTTTAAAGGGTAGAGCCCCCTGGGAACAGGTGGGAATCGTTGAATTCCGGGGCGGGAGCTAAAGATTCTTGGAGTCCAGAGAAAGTGAACGGCGTTGTTCCCTTCAGCTCCACTCGTCTCTCCCCACCTCAAACTCCATTCCCTTTCCCACCCCAAGTCAAAAGCAAGAAAAATTTGCTGTTCCCATTTAATAAATACTAATTTTACCTTTCCACCAAGAAAACAACTCTCTTCCCAGTTTTAGAGCTTAAAGAACTCAAAGCCTTACGACTTGGCTTGTTAACCTGGGGGAATCAAAGTACAAAGGGTATTGCTTGTTCCCTCTTTCAAAATTCTGCACCTCGTTCTACGTGGGACGCTATGTCTACCAACAACTGTAATTTCAAGGACCGATGCGTGTCCATCCTGTGTTGCAAATTCTGTAAACAAGTTCTCAGCTCTAGGGGAATGAAGGCTGTTTTGCTGGCTGATACCGACATAGATCTTTACTCTACAGACATCCCTCCTACCAAGTAAGTCATACGGGCAGCCCTATAACTAAGTGGGCAGTGGATGACTTGGATCCCTGGGTGTCAAGGTTATCATTTAGTGTTCCAGCCACTCCCATCAGCCTAATGATTCCCTTGGAGTTTATCTAAGTGGGCAGACCGTCTGGACAAAGTCTGTGGTTTACCCAAAGTGGTCAGTACTGAGGTCATGCTTCTAGGCACTTAGAGTCATGTGACCGTGCATCTCTTAAATTGGCTCTAAGGCACAATGCCTTTTCCAAACACCCTTTCACACTGAAGCAAATCTTTAGCAGTCACTTGGAAGGAAGCGGGTAATAATTCCTTTAAAGTGAATTAATAACGATAGTAAAACTGAACACTTTCATATATAGGAAAGTAAAGCTAATATAGTCTCTTCACCCCTTGAAATCTCTCATGAATTTCCTTAAGTATAGTCATTATTCATACAGAAATAAATGGGGTTCTATTTTGTTTGTGTATCTGCACTTTTGTGGTGGGGAAAAAAAAGCACCAGATGATAAAATTGTAGACCCAAATGTCCAGAGAGTTCGATGATACGATGTGTTGTTTTAGTTAGATATGCTCACACACAAACTTGAAATATTCTATTTTTACAATAGCAATGGTCATAAGGAAGTCTCAGGTGAGTTGTTACTTGCTGGGAGTCTAGCATAGAATCTGTATTGTTTGTTGGAGTTATAATCACAATAGAGCCATGTGCTAAGATGGGTATTTATCTTATTTTGTCACTGTGTGTGTGTGTGTTTGAGGAGGGGTGGATATGTCCATAGGTGCTCTTAAGGCTAGAAGTGTAAGATCCTCTGGAGAGGGCAGTTGTGGCTTGCATGATGTGGGTGCTAGGAACTGAACTGCAGTCCTCTGCAAAAGCAATACATGCTCTTAAACACTGACCCATCACTCCAGTTCTCACTTTAGATTGTTTTATAGTAGAAAATCTGCCACATGTTTATAGTGAGCACAAATATTACCCACCCCGTACAAAGATTAACTATTTTTATATTTTAGAGTCTAGTTCAGCTCTGAACTTATGAAATTTGTGCCAAGTTACAAAAGTGCTATTGGTTGTGAGACTGGAAAAATCAGGGCACTTGCATGCTGCAGGAATGTGAAATGGTAAAGCTGCTATAGGAAAACAAATTGGTGGTTCTTTACCAATTAAACACAGAATTGCCACATGACACATATAATTCCACTTGTAGGTATAAATCCAAAGAACTCAGATCAGCATCTTGTAGCAGCATGATTCACAATCTAAGAGATAAGAACAATCCAAATGCCCATTGACTAATCTAGTAAGTGAATAAAGACCGTTGCCTTAAAGAAAAGAAGTCCTATCATGTGCTGCAATGGGATGAACCTGGAGTACATTATGCTAAACGAAACCTGTAACCAAACAATAAATGCTGTACGAGTCCGCTTATGTGAAGTATCTGAAGGAGAATAGGGATAAAAATTTTGGTATGTTTGACTGTAATTTTTTTCAATCCTCCAGCACAGTGGATTTCATTGGAAGATGCTATTTCACAGGAATCTGCAAATGTAAACTGAAGGACATCGCATGTTTAAAATGGTAATTTGTGGCACTGTTGCAGATAGAGTTTGGAAGGTGATATTGACATCAAAACCTGTAGAAAGGCTGTATGAATCATTGAGCCATTAAAAAAAAAAAAACATTTGTTTCTTAGAGCTATTCTTTAAAATTATATTTATCTGTTTATGTACATGTATATGTGTGTGTGGCATGGCACGTGTGGAGGTTAGAGGACAACTATAGCACAAAGGTACAGTAAGCATTTTCATCATCAAGGTAAAAACCACTCATGGTGTCATTTTAAAAAATGAAACAAGACATTCCCTGTATGTTTGCCACAGTTAGCATGAGATTTGTGAAAAGAAAATTTGAGAATGAGAAACTTGGTGATCTGCTGAAGACAACCAACCTATTTTCAATTTTCCCTAGGGGCTGGAGATTTGTTTTGATTCTCCCTCTGAAATTACTGCAACTAAATGAGAGTTGCCATCTTATGTTTAGTTTACAAGGCCCATGCCCTCACCTACTTCTCTGCTTTGTTGAAACAATTTTTAAATGCTTCAACATAAAAAAAAATTCACCTTGTAGTAGTCCTGAGACTAGCAAAATCCTTTACTTATAAACCTGAGTTTATTTAATATGTTTTCTCAGTATAGCACACGTAGAGTTTTGAGTACTTTCTAGAACAAATCACATCCTGAAACTAGCCTTCAAAAAAAGTATGAATAACTGGAGCAAAGAAATACACAAAGATGTTTGCACTGTTTCACTTGCAGACTCCATAGGCTGTGAGTACTGTGGGGTAAGGTCCCTTCTCATAGCCAGAAACAGGCCATTTAGAGGAAAGGGGTGAAGCTTACAGGGTTTGTTTACATTAGCAGACAAATGTTTCTGTGGTCCAGGTGTTACCCCCTATAGGTGCTAACTACTAACAATTACTTTTTTTTTTTAAAGTGGGAACATTGTAGGCTATCATGTGATTGTTCCATGTAGTTCCTGCCTTCTTTCCTGCAACAATGGACACTTCTGGATGTTTCACAGCCAGTCCGTTTATGGTATTAACAGACTAGACTCCACTGGTAAGAAACAACTGTTTTACACATTTCCTTGTCACATTCCTCAGTCTGTCTCTGAGGAGAATCCCCTGAAACCTTCACAGGTAGATTGGGTCAACAAGTGTGAAATATTCCCCTTTCCCCCACACATTCAGTTATGAAAACTACTAGCCAAAAATGTTACCACTTATCATTGAATTGAGGGAAGGGTTCAAAAATTCTTAGGCTTTATGGTTATCCTCTGGTTTTGGTTTTATTGAGATAGTCACCCTAAGTAGCCCAGGCTATCTTCTAACTCTCAGTCCTCCTATCTCAGCCTCTAAAGTGACTATAGGTATGTGCCACCACATACTGTCTTTTTAAACATTGTATTTCTGTGAACTAGTACCTTAACACATATTATGTTACAGATACCTTTTGAAGTCAGTATATGGATAGTCAAGGATGTGTATGCATGCACACATGTGTAAAGAAAAGAGGAAAAGGGCCAAGGCAGTAAGGAATAGGAAGAAAACTGAGTAGCCTCTATTTAGCAAGTCTTTGAGATAAACATATTTCAAGGGCTGAAGGAACGGCTCAGTACTTATGAGCCTTATTCTTGCAGAGGACCAGGGTTTGGTTCTCAGCATCCACATTAGGCAGCTCATAACTATCTATAATTCCAGTTCCCAAGGATCCTATAATCTCTTCTTACTTCCACAGGTGCCTGCATGCTTGTGGTGTACATTTAGACAAGTAGGCAAGCACATATATACATAAAACAAAAATTAATAAATCTTAAGCTATATATGCACATATGTATTAACATGTATATTAATAATTTACAATAGAATTCTAGTCAAGGGAAATATTCAAGGCCAGTGTGTTATACAAATTATTTCAATAAGAAAATAGGCTAGGGCCTAGAGAGATGGTTCAGTGGGTAAGAGAGCTTGAAACCCCAGCATCATATAAAAGCCAGGCATGACTGAGTGTACCTATATCCCCCTTCACTTAGAAGACAGGAACAGAATCTCCTTGACAACAATCTAGCCAAAAAAGCAAACTTCAAGGTCAGTGAGAGGTACTGTCTCAAAGGCATAAGTAAGAGTAATACAGGAGAACACCCGATATCCTCCTGTGACCTCTGCACACATATGTGTGTGCACACACATATAGAAAAGAGAAGGAAAAAGAAAGTATATTATAGATTATTTTTTAACATCTTTACTACATTTTATTTAGAGTTAGGGTATGTGTGTATGTGTGGTGTGTTTATTCATGTGCATACACAATGTCATGCATTGGAGATCAGAGGATAACCTGTGAGAGTCAGATCTCTCCTTGTTCTGTGTAGGTTGCATTCATCAAACGTAGGTTATCAGGCTTAGCAATGGGTGCCTTTATCCACTGAGCCATCTTGCTCACCCTATTATCACTTCTTCTTTTTAGGCAGGGTTTTATGTATTGCAGGCTGGCCTCAAACTCACTATGCAGTGAAGGATGGCTTGACCCAAACTTGGTTTTATGAGGTCCTGGCATTTAAACCCAGGGCTTTGTATATGCCAGACAAGTAGCATCTTACTAACTTAACTACATCTCTATCCTGGCATGCTCCTTTAAAAGTGTGTATGTGGTTCTGTGGCCCTGTGTGTGTGTCTGTGTCTGTCAGTGCGTGTGTGTGTGTCTGTGTAATTTGCTTTGATAGACTAAGAAATCATGAATTGCAGGCCAGGTTGTCAAGGATTTTAGACCCTCCAATTATGCTTGTGTTTTTAAGACTGATTTTTTTTTTTTTTTAAATTACCTGGGATTCAACAGTGGCTTTTCAATGCATCACTGCAGCCTTTTAATTTAAAATTATACATATATGTTAAGGTGGCTATTTTCAAGCAAGGACTCCTCTAACTCCTACAAGTAAAAGATAGGCTCCTAATTTAGTTTTTTCCACTTTATATTTGGTTTGCCCATGGGACACATTCAAGAAAGTTTCTGCTTTGATACAGTTTTTCCTGCTTCACAGGATTCAAAATAGGGTGGAGATTTTTCAGATTTGATTTACTTTAGAATATTGGTCAATTTTTCAAACATAAAAGACCAGCATTCTTTCACTTGTACTGACTCTAATCCATGAGAAACAGATGTATCACAGGATTTCCTTCCTTCTTAAAAAAGAGGAAGGTGGTTCTTCTGTCAGATCCAATCTCCACATTTATTTATTCTCCTTTGAACCAATTGTGCTAAGTTGCTTCGTGGTTCCTGAATACAAGCTCCAAGAATATCAAACTTCTCCTTTGTAACTCTAATATTGTGATTTAAAGTAAGATTTCCTGGATGCTTATCAGAAGGAGATTTTTAATGGCTTTGGAACTGTCCTTGAATCACCTGAATAAGTAGCACTAAAGGAATGTATATACAAGTTATATAAAATTCTAGAATGTTCAACATGAAAGTTCTCTAAAAAGTATGTATCTTAGGTTAGCCTACACATATAAATCTAATTTCCCAGAGCTTTCCCAAATATGATTGGGAAATCATCTCAGATTCCCTAGGCTATCTCCAAAGGTATTAGGCTCTCCATTTACCTTTATGGATTCTAATTTTTACTTAATATTTTGGCCTAACAATTCTTTACAATCTGGTCAGCCCCTCAGAACATATTACCAGAAGCCGATCACCATTTATTCTGGGGATGGGTGTTAGGAAATGTTTTTTATACTAAGCAGTTCAGACACAAAACCATTAAGGAAAAGAACATGGTAGATATCTATATATTCTGTCACTTCAAATAAGGGCAAACTTCTTGCCTCATTAGATTGCAGTATCTCTGTTAAACAAAATATACCTGTATATTCCCACTGCTTCAACCATGTACACATCTCTTTTGATGCTGAAGCAAATTGGACCCAGCAATGACAGGCTAAATCTTCAACATATTTTAAAAGATTTAAGCAGACAAGATGGCTCAGCAGGTAAAAGCACTTTGCTGCACATTTTGCTTAATAAACTGAGTTCAGTCCCAATGAGAGCTAGAGACAGGAGAATTGCCTGGAAGTTCAGATACTAGCATGGCTGGGATATACAGCACAGTGTAGTAGAAACAAAAAAAACCCCACCTCAACAAGGTGGAAAGAGAGACACCCAAAGCTGTCCTCCAGTGCTCCACATGGCACCATTGCATGTACACATATGCCCTACCACACCAGCTAAATTAAATTAAAAATAAAGGATTTCCAGTGCAGTACTATACAGAATAAAAAAAGTAAATGCGCTAAATCTACACCACATGTCAAACAGATAAAATTCAGAAATAAGATGAATGAGATAAATTAGAAAAATATGTACAATACAATAGCATTCTATAAAAATTTTAGGCACGTATGGTGGCATATGCTTGTAATCTCAACTTTTGTAAGGTAGAGGTAAGAAATCAAGAGTCCAAGGTCATCCTCAGCTACGGAATGAATTAGAGCCTAGCCTAGGCTATATGATGCTATCTTTAAAAAAAAAATTTAGATAACACAAAGCAGTAATATTTATTGTCCACAGTTATGTACACTTGTAGTAAAAATGCCAATAGTATGCAGATAAAATATTGCATCAGTCCAGTGAGATACTATGATTTTAACTTACCCTTTGCAAATGATCAGTGGTCATGTGTGTCCAATATGGTACATGTGGAGAATAAAGAAATCTGTATCTGGGTGGGAGAACAAAAATATCAATAGGGCAGAAGCCCGGGCTCATTCCATGCCACCGTATGGCCTCTATTTCAGTGTAGCGCAGATACCCAGAACTGGTGGGTCTTCCTTTTGCTCACTTCACCAGCTAGACAGTTTGAAATTGTCTCGTGATAGTTTTTATTCTCTCCTAATTTGGTACTTTTAGTCATCTCACTATCCTCAGTATGTTTGGCCCAGTACTATACATCTGTGCTAGACTCTGATATGAAATCTGATTATTCTCTGTCAGTGCTGCTTAGATTATTGTTTGTTATAGTGACTCTTGTAACCTAGTCCAAAAGTTTACAGCTCTACCTTGAAGCCTGTAGTCTGAAGCCTGCCTGCTTTAGGAAACCACCACTTTATAAGCAACTGTTTTAACACCAATGTACTGGGGATTGAACTTTGGGCTTCATACTTCTAGGCAAAGGCTCAACCAATCAGCTCTTCCTAAAGCCTCTTACTTTTTAGGACAGTATCTCAGGAAGTTGTTCAAAGCTGACCTAGAACTTGCAATTACCCCTTTAGCTGGGATTATAGCCTAAGCCAGAAGGCCCATCTTGTCTTTATCAGAAAATTATATTAGCTACTGCTCCATATATTGAAGAAATGACTTATTTAGGTACAAAAATGTACTCAACCTAAAAGAATCTTATGCAATCTCTATTCTAAAATCATTGAAATATATTTTAAAATTATCACTGTAGAGTATGAATGGCATTGTGTAGGCAGGGTTGGGGCAGATAGGGACTCCAGAGTTCCTTTTGAGTTCAAATTGCCTAACATTCCAACTCTTGCTTAAAAGGTTTTTTGTTTGTTTGTTTGTTTGTTTGTTTGTTTTCTTAATGTTCACTTTGGGGGCTGGAGAAATGGCTCAGCAGTTAAGAGCACTAGACTGCTCTTCCAGAGGTCTCAAGTTCAGTTCCCAGCAACCACATGGTGACTCATAACCAATCATTTTGGGATCTGATTCCTTCTTCTGGTGTGCATGAAGGCAGAGCATTTATATACATAAAATACATGAATAAAGAAAGAAAGAAAGAAAGAAAGAAAGAAAGAAAGAAAGAAAGAAAGAAAGAAAGAAAGAAAGAAAGAGAAAGAAAAGGTAAAAAGTGTTATGTTGTAGATGGATAATATTTTAGATACTTTTATTTGTAAGACATCTTTCTCTGCTGCTGTCTCTAGTAGTGCTGCCATAGTTTATATGAGAAGCTTGGCATATAAAGTTTTATATGTCATGTTCTGAATTATAGTAGTAAGCACTAAAGAGTTTTATGGCCTTTTATTTTCAGGTGTAAACTTTCTACTTTGGGGCAACTTGCCAGAGACAGAAGAATGTACAGATGAAGAAATGCTAGAGATTTCAGCAGAAGAGTATATCCGATGAATGAATTAGAATGTATATGATGTATTTTATAATTTTTCTATTTAAAATATTTAATTGGTCAATTTTAACATTGCTAGTAAAGATTTACCAGTGTTTTAAAATGCCAGTGGAGCATTTACTATTTTATTTTCGATTTCAAATTAATTACTTCAGTTTAACTTAAGCCAGTTCTTTTCTTCTATTTCTACTGCTTCCTCTCCCCCAGCCCTCTGCTCAGGGTTGCTTGACTTCAAATTGAAAGTTTCACATGTTACTCAGCTACCTTCTAAATGGACAAAGATTTTCTACAACTTGATGCCCAATAGCATAATTCTTTATTCCTGAATAAGAACATTAATACTCCCTCATATCAGCCACACATAATATGAGGCTCAACTGAATATAATAAGAATTAAAAAAAAAAAAAAAAAAACAGGCTGGCAGGTTTCCATGCATACTGGTTATTATATGCTGTATTGGTAAGAACTGCTTTAGTATTGAAAATGGTGTTAGTCATGGGTTTGCAAGAAAAATATCAATGTATCGTGCTTAGCAATGTTAAGTATTTATGTTTAGGCAGACAAGACAGCTCAGCAGGTAAAAGCACTTTGCTGCACACTTTGCTTGATAAACTGAGTTCAGTCCCAGTGAGAGCTAGAGACAGGAGAATTGCCTGGAAGTTCAGATACTAGCATGGCTGGGATATACAGCACAGTGTAGTAGAAACAAGAAAGACCCCACCTCAACAAGGTGGAAAGAGAGACACCCAAAGCCATTAAAGCTATTGTACCATGAGAGCCAGATAAAGTAAAACTTCATCTTTAAGTCCACTTCCTAGGGAATTGTTCTGTGAATACCAAATTTTAGATAAGTAGTCTAGGTCCAAAGCCTACAAGAAAAGAAAACAAAAAACTAAAGGGGTGATTACTTAAGACACCACACATTATTTCTTTTTGCATTGTTTCTTGTTTGTTTTTGTTTTAGATATCCAGTTTTACTGTGTGGCTCTGGCTGGCCTGGAACTCACTATGTAGATCAGGCTGGCCTTAAATTTATAATCCTTTGCCTCAGCTGCCCTAGGAGCTAGCACTACAGATACAGATTTATATTCAGGCCTGGCTTGCTCTTAAATCTTTTTTTTTTTTTAATCTCTTCATTGATTCTTTGTGAATTTCACATTATGTCCCGCAATCCCACTCATCTTCCCATCCCTTTATATCCACCCTCTACCCTTAAAACGTCCGCGCAAAAGAAAAAAAAATCTTGTTGTAGAAGCTATAGTGTGTCACAGTGTGTCCCACTTCTTTACCTGCAGATACTCACTGCAATGAATCATTGGTCTGGTTGGAGGCCTGAGGCTTCTGCTGCAGTATCTATACTGGATCCTTACTGGGGTTCCTCTTGGATATCCTGTTGTTGTCCTGTCTCATAAAGATCCTGCAGCTTTGTATCTGTAGGACAGGCTCCTTCACCCACTCCACCAGTTCAAAAATGGGGCAGATGTTGTCATGGCCAGCTCAAAGCCCTGGATCTGTGCCTAGGTAATGGCTGAGCTGGTCAGCCTGTCAGCTCTTCTGCACTACCACTGCTAGCTCACCCAATGCCACGGCCAGCTAGGGGCAGAGCCAGCTCTCCTTCTCTCATGCCCTCGTAAATGTTGTACTGAAAAAAAGTAGATACTTGGATAGGCTTTAAAACAGTAAAAACAAAATTCATAGCACATTATATGTTCTTCAGTTAAAGAAACAGTTTAATGCTAGAATTGAGAATGTTAAAACTCAAGGCTAACCTTCTATAGAATTCTTCAGATCAAGTCTTTAAACACTGTTTAACCTGGGTACTCTGTGAAGAGATGGTGCCAGTTAGAGGCACTCCAACTGAAATAAACCCAAGTGCTCCATTACAGATGGACAGTATTTCAGATGACTCAGCTACTTTTAAATGATTCTTTTATAGAAAAGCCCATTTTGGATAGCAAATGAATTCATAAATTTTTATCTAGAGAAATACATTTATGGGACGAGTGAAAGATAGCTCAGAGGTTAAGAGCACTGGCTCTTAACTGGGTCCTCTGGCTGTTCTTCCAGAGGACCTGGGTTCAGCTCCCAGCACCTACATGGCAGCTCATAACTGTCTGTAACTTCAGTTCTAGGGAATGCAACACCCTCACACAGACATACATAGAGACAAAGCACCAATGCACATAAAATTAAAATAAACAAATCATTTAAAATATTAAAAAGAAAAATACATTTATGAAGCTTCCTTTTTAAAAAAAATTCCCTTTAGTACTGGAGATTGAACCTGAGGCCTTCGGCATGCTAAACAAGGTCTCTAGCACTAAGCCACTTTTTAAAATAAAAACAAATTACATAGTCCAGAAAGACCAAAGCAGAATCATGTATGTGTGTAGACTAAGCATGTGCTTTCTGGTCTTTGCATAATTGATAGTTTTAAAGCTATCTATACATTGGTCATATTTTAATAATCCACTAAACAATTTGTATTATTCTATCATGTGGCAAGAACTGCATAATAATTTGCTTACACTTTAGGGAGAATGCAGGGGTTGGAGAGGATCTAATTCAAGGCAGCAAGTGAGTTAACAAAGGCATGCTTAAAGTGCTATGACTACAGAGACAAAGCACAATCATACTGAGTAATAGGAAAGAGTGGGAGTTGAGAATTTCTTAAAGAAAAATAATATTTAAGACAGACTTTGTGCACAGGAACTTGCCAGCTGGGATGAGAATTTGGAGCAGAGAGCATATGAAGAAATGGATGAGTGGATGAAACTATCTTGCTTACTTAGGAAATTATAAGTGGCCCCATACCTTGTAAGGAAATATTAATGATTAATTCAAGATAAAGCACAGTTTGTCATTGTTAGTTTAGACCTCACCCAGAAGGAATGTGGTCATTGAAGTTTTTAAGAAGGGAATAAAATTACCAGATTCAGGACAATAGTTCTTTTAAAATATAATCAAGTTTAGTGTTCTAATGTTCGTTCCTTGAAGGGCTTAACTTGACTGTCTAAATGATATTTTTTCACCCCTTAAATCCATGTAATTCTTGAAGTTACCTGAATCTCTTGTCTTTCAGAGAGCCCCTTATCTGAGGTGGGCACTGCCTTTTTCCCTCTCCATCTCACCATTCCTGAAGTTCAAGGAAGGGACAATGACTCATCAGCTCATTTGCTAAGGGTTTTTGTGCCACTTTATTTTTTCCTCAAACCAGTTTCTCAACCCCAGGCTCTGTTGAGGCATCTTGGGTGGGGACCAATCTTAAAACTATAATGTTTTTAATAGCCCCCAGTTTTTAAAAAAATAGGTCCTTAAGAATTAGTACTTAAGGGAGGTTATCCTATTAAGGACTGATCTTTTGACCTCCAAGTCACATGGAACTGATTAAGAATAATCTATATTTACTTTGTTTTGATAAGAAGGCAGTGACCATAATATAGAAACAATTATATAGAAAACAGCTAACTAGAGAGAATCCAAATAGTGAATTGGAGAAGTAGGGAGGAAATGGATTGAATGTTCTTGAATGATGGTGGCTCTATATTTTAACTTTCATGCTCATAAAAGGAAATATTTTCCTTTTCATTCTCTCTCTCTCTTTCTCTTTCTCTCTCTCTCCCCCCCCATCCCTCTCTCCTTTAAACGCAGACTAAACCATAGTTTCTTTCTTTCTTTCCTGGTATTGAGTGTATGCCAAATCTGCCCTAAACTGCACAGCTGGAAAAAATTAGTCTATGTCTATGGTACCTCTGGGTTGAATATATTTAGTACTTAAATCTTTAGCTAAAGGTTCTTTCTTCCAACACTAAAGAATGATTTTTTTTGTTATTCGATGTACAAACTCACTGATATAAAAATTAACAATATTATTTTTTTTATATTTTATTGAGAGCTGTCACATGTACTTTAATTCTTGGAATCCTTTTGGGGTCATCGTTTTATTTCCACTTCACAAATTAAGAATAGCTCCTCCTTACCTCCTAAGGCTTCACTGTTTAGCATAGGATGGCCTTAACTTGCAGCTATCCTTCTGCCTCAGTTTATCAAGTACTGAGATTACATGTATGTGCAACACTATGCCTAGCTAAGCTAGAAAAAAAAATCTTAATTAAAACACCTAAAGAATTAGAAGACTTGGTGCCGGATGCAATGGCACATGCCTGTAATCCCAGCACTCTGGGAGGCAGAGGCAGGCAGATCTCTGTGAGTTTGAGGACACCCTGGTCTTCAAAGCAAGTCTGGAACAGTCAAGGCTACACCGGGAACCCTGTCTCAGAGGGTGAAAAAGAATCAAAAGACTCTAAACTACATTTAGAGTTTTCTTATTTTCTTTAGGGATCTCTCTTACCTTCCAAAGTGACCCTAAATTCAACTCTGTTTTCCTCTCCACTTATGGAACCTAGGACAAATTTTCTAGATTTTTTTTCACTCATCATCACCTGCACTGGGAATCAAATTCAGGGGCTCATACACACTAGGCAAGCACTCTACCACTGAGCAAAGTCCAAAGATGAATTTTCTCTGACTTTCAAAATTCAGTTATTTGAATTAATCTATTCAACAAATATTTGTGGACCTCCCTGTGCACAAAAGAGATGCTAGAAATGCAGCCATGATACTGGAGGTAAGAAAGAAAACAGGGAATGCTTATTGAGTGTTTACTGTGTGTCAGCCATCACTCAAGGTGATTTCTTGGCATGTGATCCCTAGTAGGTAGTTCCCATTATCCTTGCCATAGAAAATATGAAAAAAATAAACTGAAGCAGAGAAAGGTTTTGAAAAAATACCTCTCCTAAGCTGGCAGAGCAACTAAATAACAGCACTGTGAGATGTAGAGGAGTCTTAGTTAATCAGCTTACAACTGTGTTTCCTTATGTGCTCAGTATCATTAACTTCCACTCAGATAAATCAAGTTTTCCATTACCAGTCTTCCTGTGAATATGTTTCCCTCAGTGATTTTGTTGTAAATTGAGATGAGAACAACGGTATCTCACTTTT